TTGTAAAAGGATTTGATTTCGATTTTGTTAGTAAATTTGGAGAGTTATATCGATCTGCGAAATCTCGACAATTTGGCCACTCCAGTATCCCCTTACACCAATTCAAAGATATTTTAGAATTACGGAATGTCACTAAATTGTTTCATTTCAGGATATCTCTTTAAGTAAAGCAGACACTCTTTGATTCACAACAATATTTATCACACAACGATAAATAGATATACTTTATATGGTAATTCTGATTTACGCCGTTCAGGGATTTATAATTAAATTTGTCTTGTAGGTGCCACATACATACCGTAATTATCCTATCTTAGAAAAACAAATTTACATCTTGCAATATTTTTAAGAATTTATTTTCATGTTTTAAATTTAGGGAAATTTCTAAAAAAAAAAGTATCTGATCTCTTAACTTTTTAATAAATATTCTTAGAAATATTATAGAAATCTTAGAATATTTCAACAATAAAAAATCTAAAAAAATCAGGGCGTATGAGAGTCAGCGTGATCTTAAATCTTTATTTTAGAAAACAGAATTTTTATTCCAAAAAATAATACGTTTCAGTTCACACATGAAGGGATTGATATTTTGAAATTGTATTGCTGAAGATGGTTCCAAAGTGAACTGAAACGTATTACTTTTTGGAATAAAGATTCTATTTTTTGGAATAAAGATTTAAGATCGCGTATTAACTATCACGCTCTCATTCTCCTGATTTTTTTGGAAATTTTTTGTTGTTGAATTTGAGAGAGTCTGAGTAAAAAGATTATTACTACTTAGAATATTTTGAAATTCACATACATAAAGAAAAGTTATAGACTTTGTTATAGCTTATATCTGAAAAGTGTTCTAATTCGTATTTAAAAAATTTGAAAAATTTTTTTTAAATGTTATACAATTATATAGAAATTCTGAAAAGTTATATGAATAATTAAAAAAAGTTTTTACTAGGGTAATCTACTAAATTACTTTGTAATATTATAATGCGGATTGCATACCGCATTATAATATTGCAGATGATATAAACTTAAGATAAAGTCTTAATTTATATATAGTAATAAAACTATACAGGTTTTAAATTATCCATTTTATCTGAGAGAGTTTCTGAGAATGTACTTAGGATGTTCAGATTTAAGAGAACATAAAGACATTCCTTAGAGAACTGTGCTATATATGGGGATACAATTAATTTTTTTTTATAAATTATAATAATTCTGACTTGACTATTTTATTTATGCGTATAAGTTATTTCAATCGATCGCAAATTCGATCGGATTTTGAGATACTTTCCGCAAAGAAAAAAAAAAGATTTTTTTTATGTTATAAGTTAATACAATATTAATAAATAACGTATTGTCTATATGTTTTTTTACATAGTAAATTAAACAAATTCAAAAGAAACGAAAGAATTTTATATTTATATTTATTTATATTTATATTTATTTATAATTCAAAGAATGATGTTTATTTTTTAAGAAAAAGATCCCAACTTTCTTTACTAAGCATCTCAGAACTACGTTCAGTGTTCCTCTGCACGTGTGTATTTTATTTTATTCGATATGTAATAACAATGCAATGCCTCATTTCACCAGCACATCATCTCTTAATATGCGCGATGCATTCGACGACTTTGACTCCAAGTATCTTGTCAGCACAATTTCAGTGATCTCTTAACTCTTTACATGCAGTACTCTTTACTTTACTACAGATACTTGAAGCGCATTCCATTAATATATAATCGAGGATACTTACAAAATGATGCGACCAAAATTAGCGACCAATATTTTCGTGAGAAGACCCCGATTGACGAAAGCAAACTGTTCACTTCGTCAGACAATACAGTCACTTTATATTGAACAATACAATTTTCAAACTCCCGTTAGCAACTCTCCGTCGCCTTCCTTTTTCTCTCAAAAACAATTGAGCTTATCTTGAGCTTCAGATAACGGATGAGAAGATGACTGTTTTTCAGAGTTGTTTTGGGTCAATCCTTACTCCTGATCAAAGAGTTTATCACGTCTTACGATATGGTCATGCGTTTATATAGTCCCAAGAAATCAACGGACACATTGTGACGACACAACAAATTGGCAGAAGAAATGTGTATGGTTAGTAGAGAGAGAGATACGATTCGCAGAAGCAACTGCATCAAACGAAGATCCGATCGTTATGAATTATTTATAAACGGACAGTGTCATTGCAAGATGTATTCCACTAAAAGTGAGAATTTCCATTTAATTAATACAGCTGTTATATATCAGTTGATATATCTAAATAAAATCAGTTAACAACTATTCCGCGAAATTTGTTCTGTCAAAAGAGATATCTTTAAAAAAAAAACATTATTTCTAGAAAATAACCATTATAATTGGCATTATTAGCAATTTATTAACAAAAAATAAAATGGATTGTTTATTTCTCAAAATTATGTTACTTAAAAGGATGTGTAATAATTAAAGTTTATTATCTTAATAATAAACAAAAATAAAATATTGTATTCCTAATGTACCACAAATGTAATCATACATTAAACATACGATTATTTTCGAGAAGCTGTTTTGTTTACTAAAAGAAATGTTACTGTTTATTTCTACAAACAAGATATTTTTATATTATATTAGGTGGATCGGAAAGTAATGTCGTTTCTGCGCATGTCGATATTCGTTTGTCATTTATCAGCTCATTGTGTACTTCAAAGTCGTATCAAAATAATTTAAAAAAAAAACGACATTACTTTCACACATTACGGTCCGCCTAATATTATATTATATCTTCCGTATACGAATACTTTTTACGTTTTTTATAAATAAACATTGATGTAAGGTATTTTTTATGAACTTGATTTGTATAATAATAAGAAGTGGAGCAATCGAGAAAAAACTGCTATTATGAGTACCGTGCTTTTGCTGGAAAATGAGTAATCATGAAATCCTACATTTAATTAATACTTACTGTATTCTCTGTCATAGCGAAGAAATATATTATTAAAAAATGAAGACGTCACACGTAATAGGAAAAAGAATATATTTTTTATTTTCCCAATGCGATTTATTATTCCAGAAAATGAAAAAGAGCGATGCTCTTCCCGATCCATTTTACGTGTTCAAGTGCGTAATCAGTAACATATATATCAGCGACGAGGCCAACGATCCTTTAACCTACGATCTTAGAAATTGTTTTCGTTCGCGGTACAAAGTCTTCTTACGATTTGTAGAAAAACATGCGCTCTTTCGTAAGTTAGTATATTATACGATGAAGCAAATGATATCTGCAGCGAAAGTTGTTTGTACGTGTTACTGATTTCGGGCAAAAATTAAGCGAGATTTATTACAATTTTTTGTATTTCTCGGAATACAAATTTTTGAAACTGTTTCTCTTTCCGATTAATTATCTTTTAAGACACGTTTATTTTAATCCACTTACCATGATCTGAAACAATTATGAAGAAACTATACTTCTTATTTGTTCTTCTATGCAAAACAGAAAATAACTTTTCTTGCTTATTTAATTTAGTTTATATCGCTTATATGTATGAAGACAAAAGTATTTTTTTCATAAACCAAATTATTAAGTACATTTTTTAAAATCTGAATTATTGCTTTTTCTATTAGGTGTCACATTACGAACAATTTCATTTAGGAAGAATTAAAATTAAAAAATTTAACGTTTGCAAAAAATGTTTTTGTTAAGATTAATTGTAAAATTTTATGAATAAAAATAAAGAAATTATTGTTAATATTTTCGTCTCCTACTCTCTATCATTATTAATTTTATAAAGAAGATAAATGTAAAATATACGATAAATATAAATATAGTAAATGTAAAATTTCTGTAATAATAATCAAAGATGTTTTTTACCTTTTTTAAATAGAAATTTTTAAACATAAGATATTAAAGTATAAAACGTTATTGTTATATCTACTATATATCTGGAGAAAAATTACTATACAATAAATAACTTAAAGATGAGAAATGTTTTTCGTTTCTTGAAAATTTAATTTTTTAGATTTGTTTGATTTTTGTGAAAACCTCTATATATGAACTTTATATACTTCATGCTATTTGAAGAATATTTAACATCTGATAAAAAATATATGATTAGCAGACAAGCTTCTCGTGAATTAAAGTTGCAATATCACATTACGAAGCGAAAAAAATCATAATGCAGAATAAATATTTGTATGATAAATGAGACTCTCTCTTTTATACGCGTAGCAACGTTTTTCATGTGTGACAAATTTAAATGTTGTTTAAAATAAGCATTACTATTAGCATTAAATATAAAAGTGACAAGATTTTTCCACAGATGATAAAAAAGAAGGTACTGCATGCGTTACCATAAGTTAATGTGCTATAACATATACTTCCGTCTTTTGTAAATAATTCATATAGTATGAGCAAATTTGTCTTAATAATTTCGTCAGAATTATATGTAATTTTAATTTTGTGTGATTCCGTATATGAAGAAAACACATGATTCTCTTTTTCTAACAATTGCAACACTGGCCGAGATCATCATTTCATAACATGATCATCGGTTAATCAAAGCTCAAAAGCCAGAAGGTCAAACATAATTAAAGTGATGCGTTTTAAAATTGCCTATTCTGTACCTCTTTGCAAATCACGACAAAATACACACGTATCATTAAAATTTTTTGAATTATATGACTGATATTATATGACTTTATTATCTTTTGCTATTATCTTTGACTGATTATTCGACTATACTTTTAATTGATGTTGTACAGACAAAACGATCCTTAATCGAATACGAAATCTTATTTCGATACAAAATACCTAATAACTCAATGATATAAATGCCTATATTTATATTTATACGCGCGATCGTGATAAGTAGGCATTCATAATATTTATCTGCAGAATAATTAATATTGTATAAATGCAACATTATCTCTCGAAAAGTCTACTCCTAGATAAATGTAAATTCGTTGACACTTGAATTTGCAGTGATTCGTTACATTTGATTCATGGTAGTCTTTCAAAAGCCGCGTGTCGTCTCGACGAATTACGCATTCTTGTACGTAAAAATAAGATAGATAGTGTAATTTGTTACACTATAAGGCAAACAGTGAATATTAACGACTTTATTTATGTGCAAAGGAATTTGGAATTTCACGTCACATATTGTATACTGGTATAATTTACATATTAACACTGTTTTGCTCACATTATAAAGTTAGCAATATACAATTCGTTCTCTTGTGGAGCTGGCTTATCGATGCAATGATCACTTTATCTCGCTCTCACGACAGTTTGAGTAGAAGCTGTGATAATTCACGCATTCTTCTTGTGCTCGTAAAAGTACAGTTGGTTGTCATTGGCTTTGTTTACTGAATTGTGATAGTACAGGACATCAGAGCGATGTACGGAACATATATGCCGCGATGCTGATTTTGGCATTCTTGCGATGACACACGAGAAAAGTGAATCCATAGAGAAGAATGATAATGGTGCAATTCCGAGCGAAAACAACAATGAAAATAAAACGTACGTAAGATGTGATCTATTATATCTTGTTATTAGTTTCTCCCATTTGTACACGGAAAGAACAATTTTGCTAAAGCATCTAAAAAGTTAATTGTAGATATAGAACATGTGTGTGCGTGCGTGCGTGCGTGATCAAATATATCTATCGACAAATATGAAAAATAAAGAAAAACGTTTCTGCAAACAAAAGTTGCATCGCTTGAAGGGGTGCAATAATAGTTTTTAAAAGAAGAATTTTATAAGGTTACATATAGGTTTTCATCATTTTTTATAAAGGATTTATAAGACTTTTTTTCACATAATATGACTCTAATTATTGTATTTTGGGTATGAAGTATCAAAGCAAAGATATCGAAAAATCAAGAATAGTCGAAGATACTTAGACTTTGATTATAACTAATAGTTTATGGAATATATTTTATGCCTTATTTTAGAATATTTTAATATGAAATATGTAGAATTTCTCATGAACTATTAAATTTTTATAATCGTATTTGAATTTTTATGCACAAAATAATGGAATGAATCAAATGTATAAAGAAAACATAAAGTTACTTATATAGAAGAAATATGTAATTTCATATTGTAAAACTCAAATCCTTTTAATTATAGCAACGTATACGTAAAAGAAGTATACGTAAAGAACATAGTTGCTTATTAAAAGAATTATGTATTTTGTATACATAATGTAATTCATCTAATTATTTTGCAGATAGAGATATTGAAAACTCAGTAGTTCTCGAGTTATTTTATACTTTATTCTGCTACATATGGATATAAAATATAAAATTAATACTTTGTAAACTATATTAATTTTTTGACAATCGTATTTTAATATTTTTACGTATCGAATAATATGAATCATTAATTCTTTACATTGATGATTAACAATTAATATTGATATCATGTTACTTTTAGTTTGTCGACTGGGTAGAGTTCCATATCGTCCAAATTCTTCACAAATAGTGCACTTTTTATTGGAAGGAAACTTTTGAAATAAAGATTTTTTATTCTAATTTTATTTCACACCTCCATAAATAGAAATTAAAAAAAATAAAATTAATTAAATGGGTATTATTCGGCTCAGGCATACCTTATTATCGATTAAAACATTACAGTTTATAACTTAATGCAATTAATTATTAATTATTAAGATAAATCTCTCTAAAAGTTAATAATTTTATTGCATTAAGAAAATTTAAAGAGCATTAGTTTCTCTTATCAACTAATTTCATCAATCAGTTACTAAAAATTTCTCAGAGTTCAATAATGTTTGTAAATATATTTTGGATAATTATTGTGTGGATTCTCGTGTTTTGACTATATTTTGAACAGCATATTAGGACGAATACTTTCAATAAATCGTTAGTCAAGCTCGATCCGTCTCACGGTATCCATGTGTTGATCGACGTTATACATTCTCGATTGCGCGTAATCTTTAACTTCAAGATAATGGCATCGTGATTAAGAGTAATACGAATTATCATGCAAATTGGAAGTACATTAATATTTTATTCTAAACGCATTAATATTTTATTCTAAACGCTTCTTGAGAAGCAAACTTTTACATATTTAATATAAGTCACGCAAAACGGTCATCATAATTATTTTAACTTCTCCCGCATTGCAAATATATTTCCATATATTAGCGAAGGCAACTTGTGTAACTGTTTGGAACTACATGCAACAACTTCACATAGAAATTCAAATATATATCAACAAGTTATCTTGTAATAGTTTAGTGTAAAAAATATTGTGGTCTGACATATATTCTATGAGAGATTTGTTTTGCACAGTTATTGAATAATAATACCTTTATAAGTTAATTTTTTTTCATTAAATGTGACAATGTATTTGTATTAAATGAAAACAACGGAATTGTACAGTAATGTTATCGTTACGGTATCGAAAACTACATCCACAGAAATAATTCTTGTTTTGAGTATAACATTAACATTTCATTAACGGCAGCATTCATTTGTCGTGGCAATATCGATTGTTGTTCACAATAAACTCGTATGTACAACGAATCAGTCGATCATATGTGCATAACTAGTCGCAAATGTGTGTGTTTAACGATCGTTGGCAAGAGAAATGATTTTTGGACGCTTTGTTAATCTATTTACTATGTATAGATCATATAGACGTATGCGCCGTATATCAGGTGTCAATTTAGTTTTAATTATATAAATCTGAATCAATCATATCATCGAAGTTTACCATAACTGATTGTTGTTTCTGCTTCTAGGTGAAGAAATAAAGTCTGAGGTTTCAGGTCCTGTAGACTTCGAACGAGCAATTATAGCAACAGGTGAGTAAATTATATAATGTTATGGGAGAGTTATCAAATGGATAATAATTAAGTAATTTTTTATTATATTTTTCTTTTGGCACTGATTTTTATACATAAATAAACTTTGGAAATTGCAGCTTAATGCTTCAGATATCTATTACTATGTTTAACCTTTCAATAACAAATTAATTTGATTAAATCTTTAGCTAAATCTTTTACAATATGTTGCAAAAAATATGATTTAGGCAATCGTTTATCTAAATCATTCCTGGAATAGGTTTCGTAAATTGTACTGTCTTTAAAAATATCTAAATATTTACAAATATAATTAAAAGTATAAGATTAATAAAGGGGACCATCAACTAATATTTATTTTATTAATAATTTATCGAAGAATGTCAAATGTTTACAACTATAATACATAATAAAGAGACAAGAACATCTAAATAAAACTAACTCGAATTTATATTTTTGCAATTTTTTAACACATTTTTATTTATATTAGTTATCCACTATATATAGTTATATTATTATATATAGTTATATTTTACATTAGTATCATTCAGTATAATAAATTTGTGATGCTACGATTTAAGAAACTTGATAGAAGTATATGTATATATCGATTTAATTTTTACAACAATTGCAAATAGATACACAATAAATGTAAAATATTTTACAATAATTAGAATTTAATGAAAATATAAAAATTCAGAATATTGCATGATTACATTATTATCAGCAACATGAAACAATAAAAATTAATATCAATTGTACGTGATATTGATTTTTTAAAGTACCGTTTCGCACATATACAGCAAGATGTAATCTGTTGTGTGTATGTGTGTGTGTGAGTGTGTGTGTTATATGTTTGTTAAATTTTTGTTTATATTACACTGAGAAAAAAAAAGCCATGGCAATCATAAAGTACAACTCTAAAATTTAAATACTTGCAACTAATTTTAAAAAGTAATAAGAACTAAAGCAGTACCGAATATTCTATAAAAATATAGTATAGTAATATAAAAATAATATTCAGTATTACTTCAGTTCTTATTTGTAAAACGAGTTGCAAGTATTTAAATTATTAAAGTTGTTAATTTAGTAGTTGTCAAAACTATATTTTTCTCTGAATGTATACTCTTTCCTTATTTAGTTCATATTTTTGCAGTACCAAATGCTGCTTATTAAGTAAAAATATAAAATGTTGATACAATTTAGATCATTTGACAATTCTATCCTACAATTTATAAGTTTTGCCATTACTTATTTTATAATATATTTACCGCCCTGCAATAACTTTTTTTAATATTCTCATCCTATTTTATCCTTAAAAAAATAAATTATTGTCATATACCTATTTAATTTTTAAATAAATATTTGTAATACATATAAACATCAAAAAATGTGATTAAATTTATGTCGACATGTGCATGTGATTGAATAAATATTAGATGTATTATTATATTAGAAATATTATTATATATATATATAGGTGTGTATATTATTGATATGGAAGATATAGATTCATTGGCACAATTTCGATATTCGATCGTTTAAATAGCTAATTATTATATTTAAGCTATACTAAAGAGAGCTATACTTTTTCTGTACTTTTAGGCCAGGAATGATCCTGCGTAAGTTTTTTATAGTGAATAAAATACGAGAATACGCTGCACTGTAGCCAAGGTCTGCGACTTACCGCTGTGTCCTACTTCATGATCACTCTTGCCATTCACTTTATTAGGACGAGGAGCACATTGCACTGATATAATATCAGTGCGCCCCTCCTGATGAAATAAACAGTAAGATTTACGAAACATTGGCATTACCAATAGATCACGACACGGCAATAACTCGCACACCCTTTCACACATTTTTATGTTAATTTGTGTACGACGATTCTAATGTGTACCGTTGCACATAAAGTGCGCAATCCAATCGAATTCATTTGTTTTTCTAAATATGAGTCGTATGTATAATACTTTACGTGTCTACATATATTTAATTTTAAATAAAGTATAGTGACAGAAAAACTGTTCTTTTAATTAATTTTTCTAAAATTTAAATTATTCTCTCAAGCAGTGCAAAATTTTATAATACTTGAAGACTATAATTACTTATTATATCTTTTGTTCAATCAAAGTTTCTTTTTATTGTAATACTTCTTTATTAACCTTAGGGAAAAGTACTTACATTATAAAAGAGATATTTTATAGTAACTTTTTTTCGTCATAAATAGGTACATAAACTAAATGTAATGTCAACTTACCTTTTGTGCCAACAATTTCCTCTATTATATCGACAATTATTGATCTTCAAGATGTTAAACGTGTTAATTATGAATATTTGTCATTGAAAACTGAAAACAAGATTAATTCAATGTGCATACGTTAAAATATTTTTATATGTGTACTAGGATATGGAAAATTTAATTATTTGCTATTACTGGCGGTGCTACCGGCCAGCTTCTCCAGTATCTTTTCGTCATCAGCAATGTCCTACGTGCTACCATCTGCCGAATGTGATCTTCAATTAACGATGTTCGACAAGGGACTGTTGAATTCGATGGCGTTCGCAGGTAGTATCTTGATTTGCTTAACAATTGCATAACAATGCTTTATTACAGATGCCAGAGAGCTCAGTGAGAGCCCTGGAACCCTAAAGCTTGGCATACTTAAAGTCTATACGATTATCATGTACACTGCCGGTTCATTCGTAGGCAATAGTGAGGGCAATACGCGTGAACTCACGGTAAATACCGTACCATTTTATTTCTTGTCGCATGCGAATTCTGACCAACTAATTTTCGACCGTCTGTTTTCGATGCTTTTGATCCGTGAACAATTAGTGGTCGACTAATGCGCCTCTATATAGGCGTTAAAGTACAGTCATCATGGGGCTTTTCTCGCAATCTGCAACGACTTTTTATTAAAAGAACTTTGAACCAATTATAAACATTTGTAATCTGTCATGGTTATTTGTCTTTCTAATTTAAAATTAACAATTTAAAATTAACAAAAGTATATGTGCGCGTACACATTTATAAATTGTATTTAAAAAAACTCGGTAAAAAATTTTTCATGCATGAATATACATACTATTATATATATATTCATTTAAATGAATTAACAATAAAAGTCGATACGTCAAATTTTAAAACAACAAATTTCTTAACAGCATATATCACAACGCAAGATGTTCGCAGCTAATATTTTAGATGTTAATCACATAACAATCAAATAAATAGATGTTTCGACCTTAAATTAGGTCATCTTCAGTATTACACAATTACTTATTCAAATTCGCGCATATATTAATATATTATTGCACCAACGCAACAAAGAGTTTGATGTCTCGCGTTATAACTTGTAAAAATAATCCAACAGGACAACAAGTTATCTTTTCTAAGTAGAACCTTAAAATAGAAGGTAGTCGAATATTGTATCGTATTATACTCTTGAGAAATTGTCTATTGTTAAATTCAGTCAATTACTCCTACCACTTACCCTTTTTAGTTATTCCACATATAATTTCCAAATTCTATGTACAATAACTTTTGTGAATCTTATCAGGGTGTGATGAACTCATTATAACGAATCAACTACTAAAGCCTGTATCGCGATACATCTTAACATTGAGACCATAGTGGCGCTTCGTATTTAAAATAATGTATCTAACATAAACGATTTTGTTTTCAATCTTATTAATGTTTATAAACCTATATAATTATACATGAAGTGAATGTATATGTGTACAATGAAATATATATTTATATATATTTATATATATTTTTCTTGTGTGTATATTTAGAGGGAGAGAGGAAAGGCCCCTATTATGAGATACCGAGTTTATTTTGGGTAAATGCTAAAAATCTATGACAATTTAAAAAAATAACAGATTATTTTGAAGGGGGAATTTAATAAGCTTTAAGATAATTATATATATATATATATACGTTTATAAATATTTATACATGTTTATGTATGTTTATATATATTTACATATATATTTACATACATTCATGCATGAAAAATTTTTTACCGACAAGTAAACAATTATATATATTTTTACGTGTTCTCAAAAAGTTGTATGTGTTCTTATTTATCAATAATAAAATTTTAATAAACCGGATATTCTGTCGAAAAAATGCAGACAAAACAGTAAGAACGACAACATATTTAAGAACAACATATTTAAATATTTAAATTTTAATTTTTGAAGGTACAAAAAATATGTAAAATAATTTAAATATTACTTTAGTATTATGCTTTTAAAATTGATAAAAATCCTTTTATAGAAAAAAACATCAGTTATATTTGCATTATATGTATAAATTTCCATCTTGTTTCTCAATTAGAATGGATTTCTTACGAAACGAAAAAATAAGTATATATTTATCTTCTTTAATTTTATCCAAAATTAATTTCTAACTAGGAGGCCTCTAGGTATGTACTTATCAAATAATCTAGCATTGATTTTGTAAATTTATGGCATACCGCAAATGCAGGAACGGTGTTACTTCAAAATATAAACGTTTTATTTTTGCTGCGTTTCACTTATTTCTCGTCCTTACTTTAATGTGCAATTCCTAATGGAAAGTTCATATTATGAAAGCAGAATTGGTTAACCATTGATTTATTTTCAGGAATGATCGTTACGGCATTCTTCTGGGGTTGTGTTACTGACATATTCGGTCGTAAGAAAATAATGTTCTATGGTTACCTACTTACTGGTTTACTAAGTGTGGCGATGTGTTTTTCACACAAATCTTGGCATTTAATAACGTTCAAATTTTTTGACGGTATGATGTAAGTTGAAATTGAATCAATCGGTGTGGTGATATTATTAGGTGTTGGAATTAATTCGTAGCGTTTTACAAGTGATGGGAAGTACTTTCATTAATGTATTTTTTAATGCTCATGTGAAATAAATAACATTCTTTCATTAAAAACGCTACGAATTAATTCCAACACCTAATATAATATAATATTAGGTGTTGGAATTAATTCGTAGCGTTTTACAAGTGATGGGAAGTACTTTCATTAATGTATTTTTTAATGCTCATGTGAAATAAATAACATTCTTTCATTAAAAACGCTACGAATTAATTCCAACACCTAATACAATTCACATATTCTAATTAACACTGCGTTAATTAGAAAAATGATGCAAATAAAAATTAGCGTTTTGGAGATAATGAAAGGCAATTGATCACTTAAGGACTAATATATTTTTGTGAGAAAATGACACATTTATAACTTATTTATAAGGATGTAATAGATAATTTATATAAGATTTATAATCGAATAATCGTATATCCAATAATTCATCATTTATTGCTATCAGATAATCAGATTTTTATCCGGCAATTGCACAAAGAGAAAAATTGAAAATCTAATTGTTTCTTTACTGCAAGAAAGACGATTTTTTATGTATAAGCCATTATATATAAATATGCTATAAAAATTTAATAATTAATGCTTATTGAACGGTTTTTCAATATTTTATTATTGATTTTTAATAAATTTAGTTATTCAAAATAAATTTATTGGAGACCTATTGTAATCTGTAAATTCTATTCTAAGAATAAACAATATCTGTATTAAATTTATCTAAAGTTTAATATCTCACGAGTCAATAGTAAAATTAAATAGTGTTTTGAAAAAATATTGAGCAAAATATCATTTAAAAGATAAAATATTTATTAAGGTTAAAATATTTATAAGGTTAAAATATTTTAAAAGATAAAGTTAAAACATTAATTATCAACAAATTTCTGTTATTATAATAAAACCAACAATGCATAAGAAACTAAGAATAAAATTATTCCGTTTTCAACTATATAATGCTAAAGATGAGCTGTCTTTTTTAAAAGTGATCTTTACGATACGACTGTTGAAAATATTTGAAAACGTTTCAATAAAATCGCAAATCAAAATCAGACGATACAAGCGTAGAAGAAGGAAGAAATCTTTTATAAGAAAAATCTTTTACAAAACAACTTAGTGATAGAACAAAAACAAAAGCAATTTTATATTTATTGCAGAAATAGATGAATATCTTGCGCTATTTTTAAAAATTTAAGAAATGCTCTACTAAAAAGTGGTTAATTTTAAAATCTCTCACTTGTCTATAAAATGTGTTTAGCAATGTATTTTATATTAATTTTTTAAAAATTGAATATTTTTTGGACATTTTGTTATTATTACGTAATAGTTGATTAACAAATTATAGTATATCTGGTCCATATGCGGCACTTATGTCGTATTTAGCGGAAATACATAACGAAGCACATCGATCGAGATCATACATGTGGCTTGGCATGTTCTTCTCGCTGGGAAACATTTCTTTGCCATGTAAGTACAGCCTTGATACATACTTCATCGACGAGAATTAAATTATAAAACGTCATCAAATTTTAACGCCGGTAATGTGTGCAATGTTGCAATATATGTGATGTTGTAAGAGCTGGAAATAGAAAGAGTTAAAATTGATTTAGAAATTTGTAATAAAAGTGTTGAGAAAATGCATAATATTTCATTTTTATATCAAATACTCAATGTACATTTTGTGACAAATTTAAATAAAATTAAATATGATTTTAATTTCTTTATTTATAGGTATAGCATGGCTTATAATACCTCAAAAGTGGTACATGAAGTTTTTAAGCGATACATTAGAGATAGCTTCCTGGAGAATGTTCTTAGCCATTTGTTCGCTACCCGAATTTTTAGCATGCATAGCCCTTTTCGCTTTCCCAGAGAGTCCGCGTTTCCTTATCTTAAAGGGTCGACATGACGAGGCATTGAATGTCTTCAAAAAAATCTACTCACTCAATACTGGCAAGGATCCCGATACATATCCGGTACGTGCATGTAGGAAAGACGTTTTTTTATTAAAATATCTAAAAAAAATTTAGACACTGATCTGAAAATAGTTTTATCAAAATATTTCTCTAGGGCAACCTATTCAAATTGGTTGCTAAAATATTAAAATTTTTTACATTATCATTATTACCTTAAACACCCTGCAAAATTATTTTAATGGTCTATCAAAATCATTTTCTAATCTGTATCTAGCTAAATTTTTGTACTTTCCATGTCCAGTATGATAATACTTTGTATATACGTCATATTTATATATAAATAAATTAATGTATTTATTAGAAATAATATAAAATTTCAATTGCATAAAATTAACAAAAATTATGTGTTTAAATTGCTTGATTGTGCTACTTATAAGTAATTTTACGTTAATTAAGTGGAACACATAAAATTTGATTGTAAAAACATGATGCTTTATCTATTTTCATTTTGGCAATATTATAAAATATACACAATACATATTGCACACAGTGATTACGAGATTGTCGTATTATATTTATTTAAATACATTATGTAATTTATTGTAATGACTTTAATGATTTTAATAATCTTATTACGTACATGTATTTACATATAATTAATGAAGAGGTGGATAAATATGATGAGTATAAAAAAACAAAGATATACGTGCAAAAGATGAGACGATTACTAAAATATTTACTTGTACTAAAGAAAGACATGTTATTCAATATATGAAATGGATAGGAAACATGATAAACAGAACTCAAAATAGACAAAAAATTAAAATAGGATAATATACACTGAGAAAAAAATTTACTAAATTTTATAATAAATATTTCTTTGAATACTCCTAGCGGCTGGGATATTTACTGAATATAAACACATATTTATTAGATACAAGAACCGTTTGTTTGTGATTTAATTATCATCTTCTTTCATTTATCTAAATATTTATTTACTGTAAGCAAATATTCCGCTAGAGAACTATTCAAAGAAATATTTATTAAAATTTAATAAATTTTTTCTCAATGTTGATATGTCATTAAACGTAAACAAAAGAATATGTTGCACCCTCGCAAGAAAAATGACGCAAAGCAAAACTTTTTAAATTTCTTATCATTATGTGCGGATTGTGTCCTAAATACATCGGCCTTCTTTCAAAGTAAAATATAAAATAGTAATATAAGTTGAATTAAAAAATTAAAAAGTATTTAAAGAGAGAGGAAAGCAAGTAATTAATTTTAAAATACGTAATTTTCTTTCCTCTCCTAATTTCACATTTTATACTTGTGTCATTTTTCTTATGATGAGCGAATAAAGAAAACGCGTAATGAAACTGAAAGTGAGAAATGAGATTCGATAAATCGAACGACTGTAAAATTAATTAAAGAAAGAATCAGTATGATAAGAATGATATATACAGTCAGCCTTGATCAAAAATACTAAGCCTTATTAATTATAATATAATGTTTTAGTTTAAAAATTAATTGATGACATTTGATGTGTATTATCCTTTTAAGAAATAAAGAATAAATTTTAAACTTGTGCATAATCCTGATAACCAATAATTGAAAACAATATAGGAAAGAATTTTAGATAAATGAAAAAAATATAGGTATTTAATATTTTTTGCTAAGGCTGAATACGATATAATATAGTGTATTATTATCAATTTATATAGATAAAAAGTCTAGAGGATGAATATTCTATTGAATCATGCGGGGAACGTATACAGGACAAGCTGAAGAATTGTTGCAAACTGATAAAGCCACTCTTCTTGCGACCCAATGTCTTCAGATTGATACTCATATCAATGATACAGTTTGGAGCAACAATAGGGTCAGTTTAATCCTTCGTCTATTTTAATTTTAATTTTAAAAAAATGGAGTCACTAAAATAAATAGAACTTGAAGAATTCGTTTGATGCCGATTGTAACTGTGCAGATCGAATTCGCTCCGACTTTGGATGCCTCAGCTGTTCGCAATGATTGAAAATTATAAAAATACTGTGAGGAAGGACGATAACCATATATTGGGATTGCAGCCTTCATTTTGTTACATGTTAGATCAGGAAGAGTCGTATCTTAATTCCATGTATTATGCCAATAATACGATAGGCAATTCTATGGCTGTATGCGTTTCGGTAAATCGCTAATTTATAAATGTTGACCGCGAAATAAATCCCATAGAAATAATGTACATAACAATTTTAGGCCGAGTTGAATTCCAGAGTCTTTATCAATTCCATTGTCATCGCTATGACAGGTGTTATCGGTTATATTATAGCTGGTTCTCTAATAACTGTGGTTGGAAAGAGGAAGTTAATGGGTAAGTAATTTGATGTTAAAGAAATAGAAACTTACTTAAAATATGAGGGGAAATCAGAAATGTCGTTGTGTCTATAAATGCTATATATTTATTCTTTATGTATAATAATTAATAATAAATTCTTTATAAATAATAATAAAATCATTATTTCTCAATACAATCAGCTTTGCAACAAATTTTGTATAACGGCGTCTGCAAAAACTTTACAAAAAAAGAATTTTTAACTGTCTTTTACGCCATATATATATATATATATATATGTATATATATATATGTATATATATATATAGATACACCATTTCCTAAATTTTATAATACCTCTAAAATTCAATTTATAATTTACAATTTCTAAAATTTGTACAATAAGGTACCATCGGCTACGAACAGGGGTTCTTTTAATGATCCAAACAAATGGAAATTGAAAGTAGCAAGATCAAAACTATGGAGTAGAAGTTCAAACAACCCTGTACAAATCTTATGGAAAATAGTTTCGATCAAATGACTTCAAACTTTAATATTTTATAACTTAATTCAAGCTAATTAAAAATCATCACACCTTATATGGAAAAATAAATCTTTTTTATTAACATTAGTTATGAATATTGTATAATACATCATGGATATACTGTATATTCAGTATATATTTTTCAATATTTTGAAAAATATTAGTACGATATAAAACATCTTGAGAAAAAGCTTTATTTTATTTTCTAATTCCAAGAAGCATATTAAGATTTCTAAAAAAAAACAAGGAAAGTCAAGCATCTCAAAGAAATGTCACATCCACATTCGTTCCGGGTAATTCTAACAATGAGAACGGGTGCAAAACTAAAATTATAAACATACCATTGATAAATGTACAAGTGTATTAAAAAAGATTTATTTCAATTTTTTGTAATTTTTTATACAAAATATGAAGACTTTTTGAAGATCCTGGAGCAAAAATTGAGATATTTGGAGGTTTATGCCCGTAAAGAATTTTAATCAACTTGACATGAGCTACAAAATATTAAAATTTAAAACAATTTGACCGAAACTCATTTTCTATAAGATTTGTGTAGGGTTCTGTCAGTTGTCTTATGTCTATTTCTATCAATATAGATTAAATTTAATCTCCATTTAATTTATTCTTTATCTTTTTCTAATCTCTAGAAAAAGGTAAAGGTTAATCTATATTGATAGAAACGATCGCATTATATATACCGTTTCCGCTGATAATTAACTTTAATCTCTTTTCAATTTATTCTTCATTCTTTTCTGGTTCTATAATAACTCCAATAGGATGTCTGATTGAAAGTCAAATTATTACATTGCTTGTCAATGTAATATCATAAATTTAATTTATGATATTACTACAGTAGTTCAATTATTACGTTTCTAAGTCTGAAAAACCAATTCGGTGCGAAATGCAAATGACTATTATACACACATGTATATAATATATGTATATAATATATAATATATAATATATAGGTACAAATTTTGTGCGCGCGCGTGTGTGGTATGTGTGTGCGTGCGCGTGCGTGCACATATAAGTATATATATAGATTCACACGGAAATTATTTAAGCATCTAAGATCCAGCTTCGATCATTATAGGCTGTAATTCTTACTTGTTGTGTATAATTATATATGTTTATAAATATTTGTACATATTTATGGATACTTTTATATATGCAATAATATACAACATTAATTGTTATTCTTATAATTATTTAATTCCTATGTAGCAATTTGCTTCATTGTCGCTGTTACTTGTTGTGGTTCATTGTATTGGACTGAAGACACTAATGGTATCCTCGGATTGTCTTCGGTATTTGTTGCCATGACGAGTATAGGCGGGGCAACCATCGTTAATATCATTGTCGATAATTTTCCTACATATTTAAGGTATGGCAATTAATTTATCATTAATTATATATTAATAATAATACATTAATTAAAAAAATATTTATATGGCATTATTTTTCATTATCTTTACCGTATTATTCATCCATTTGATATATCCATATTTCTTTCTTGTTCTAGAACCATGGCGGTTAGCATAACCATGATGATAGGAAGAATTGGCGCAGTAATCGGTAATCTATTGTTTCCGATTTTATTCAATCTATCATGTTTAGGACCGTTCGTTATGATCGGTTTAGCCTCTTTAGGTAAAAACAATATTTGCATATTGAATATAATATATAATAGCATCATATTTTTACATTGAATATAATATATATATTATATATCTCGTGGGGCACCTAAAACGGTTAAAACGAACGATATATGTATATGTGAAAAATTCAACATGTTAGGTAAAAATGATAATATGTTTTAGACAAAAGTATATGGTAAGTAAGTTATATGGTTTAAAAGAGGACAGTAATGATAAAATTAATTTTTGAAAGAAATCAATTTTTTATGGTTGTATAAGAATTATGGACATATTGTAAACTAGAATCACAAGTTTTTACGCAATTATATACATAATAGTTTCTCTAATTATTCTGTATAAAAAATATTAAGATAGGGGTTTATATAAAAAAGTCAATAAATAAATTATAAAATATTTTACATTTTATTCTAATACATTTTGAAATGAAATAAGATATATTTTGTAAACTATTAATTTTTTGATAATCAGTACTTTTATGCACAGAATAATAAGATAAAATAATTGTATGTTAAGAAAACACATTTCTTCTCATTCAATTTTTTATCTATTCTGTAATTTTGTTTAAGGTTCCCCATCCATTATAAAAATGTTTTTTCATCATTTCTAATTACTTTACAGTGTCTGCATTTTTGGTTGCTATTCTACCCCAGAAAACAACACAAGATGACAAACCAAAAGATATTGTTTGATCTTTCTAGTTACATCCAATCAGTTGATTTTTTTATTTGTTTTATTATTTTTCGAAAAGTCAATATGTAAATATCTTTTCGCACCTTGTGCAGTTTAATATAATTGTCGTTGTTACTTTATCCCTATTGTCGCGTTGTATTTATTATGTAAATATGCACAATCATTTAGTAAATAAGGCCTATATTCTCCCTATTGTATTCTATATACGTGTACATAATATAAATGAATAAATCGTCCGACGTATACAATATACATTTTAAGGTATATACATTTTAAGATCATTCCACGACTGTAATATTTAATATCTCGTTTAATATCTCTGCCTTTGATTGTTCTAATTTATTTATCACAATTTTTTTATATAAGCATAACAGCAACGAAAAATACAATTAATGCAATGTATAAAAAATGTAATAAAATTTTGTTATTACTAATGTCTTCTACATCTTTTCCATATGCAACATGCAATGTCAAAAGCGCAATGAAAAATTGCTGCATGATGGCTACTCGTCGGTAAAGATTTTTCTATATAAAGAAAAGTGTCAGTATTCAGTATCAGCGTAGCTAATTTATTATATTTTCTTCATAGAATCTTTTTTACTTCATTCTGCTCTAATATTATACATCTCACATTATACGCAGAATTGTTGAAGAACATTTCCATATAATTTGAATTAGGGAAAAAGTCCCTTTACAGGTTCATAAAAAGATTTTTCCCCATTAATATTTTCGTTAAAAATGATCAAAATTTAAATTTAAGAAAAAGAAAGTTTTAAAGCTTGAAATCTCTACTTTCGAATGGTCAGTATATTTTTTGAATTTGTGAGTTTTGTAATATTTATATATAAAAAACTACGAGCTAAAAAAAAAATAAAAAATTTTCTTTTCACTTTATAGATCTGTAGCCCAAAAAAATTTGAGCAAATTTTCGACTATCTATCGTGAAAGCTTAGAGCTCTCTCTACAAAATTGTTTTTTAAAAATGTTTCTACGATTTTTTATTCCTGTTTTATTCCTGAGTTATTCGCGGATTAAATAAAAAGAAACATTTTGACTTTATTGCTCGTAACTCCGTTAAAAATCAACACATCGCAATTAAAAATATAGATTCTTGAAAACATTGTTCTATCAGTTCTATCTAAGTGATATAATTGCCCACTTTTTAAAAGTAAGAATATATGGGTTGCAAAAAAGTGTTTTTGCCAACTTATTTGAAAGAATTTTTTCCTTCAAAATCATTAATGGTTTTAATTTAATATAAATTCTTTTTAAAATTAACATATTTAATTTAATTTGGTTTAATTTTACATTACTTTCAACTTAAAGTTATCTGCTAAATAGAAGTAAAAACTTCGTAAAAGTTCTCGACGTAAAATAACAGACAAGAATATTACGCTACAATTTCTGCGTTTATACCTTTATTTATCCAAAATTTGTCTGTTATTTTAAAGTTATTTTTTTGTTCATACAGCCCTCATTGTAAAAATTTTGAGCACAAAAATTGTTGTAACACAAAGATTTAAATTGTAGACATAAGCTATAACACACAAATTTTGGCGATGTGTAGATGCAACTTATTGTGTCTTTATAAAGAAACGACAATAAATTGTGTTAAAACCCTAAGTTAATTTTATATGTCAACTAATTTAACTTAATCTATAAGGAGAAGACACAGTAAACTCTTCACGGATTTCGATCTTCTTTAATATCATTATGAATCTACATCAAAAATAAATTGCCGTCAAGCGTTAAGCTGCATATAGCTGCATATAACTTTATCTCTTATATTGTATAATCATACGTATATAGCAAATTTATGTGATGGATATTTATATGTGATTATATAAATTTATATATAAATTACAATAAATCATATAAATGTAGAAAAATGTATATAAATTGTTAGATTCATATACTGTTACTATAATGAAGATACTATATAATATATATAATGAAGATAAGAATTTATCTACATATATGTAATTATATATGAATTATAATAGCATTATATATAATTGCATCTCACATAGCAAGTAAAATCGCAGTAATATTGCAATATACCAGAAATATTATATATATATATACAATATTACCAGAAATCTTACATATTACAGAAATATGTAATATCACAGAAATATTACTGATGTATTACATGTTGATATAAGCAACAATGAAATATCACAGCAATTTTATGACAATATAACTATTTAAGTAGCAAAATGACATTATTAATAACGCTTTTATGATCTTTTATTGACATTAGAAATGTCATTAAGATATTATTATTAAAATATCATAAAATTATATGTACACACACATAATTTTACTGTGAGTGATATTTAGTTTAGTATAACTTTTTTAGCTTATTATAATATTATATAATAGTTATTGTATTGACAATCAGTATTATTTTCTAATTAATATCATGGAATAATTTAAAAAATAACATTAAAAATATCAATTTAACAAATTCTTTTAAAAATTCTCTTTAAAACGTTTTAATTATTCCCAATAAATGTTACATAAATATAAACATTACATAATCTATCACAGAAATATTACACAATATTATAGTGATATTTTTATGATATATCTTGATAATATTCCTGTGATTAATTTTCGCGAACATTCTAATATTGTTGTGATATCTCAGTCAATATTTCAATGATATTTCTAGATTTCATTGTAATATTGCAATGGAAAAATGATATTGTTGTGATGTTATTATGATGGGTACGTTCTGATATTAATTGTCAGTGCTGAAAATCTATAGCACACATAACGTATACTGTATAGTTTCAGCACTGGCACTGTATATCGGAACACACCCGATATTATGTTATGTGAGATATAATTACACAATGGATCATACATTATATTATATATATTTTAATATAATTTTGTATAGCGATCTATGATTATATATGAAAAATTTTTTACTGGGAAGTTATTATACATTATATGTAAAAACTTATTTCAAAATATGTGTTCAATTTATAGATTCAATTTACGACATAATTAGTTTAATGTTCTTTCATACATTAAAAAAATATTATATACAAGGCTCCTTCAACAAAATGTTTAAATATGATACATATATATATTTTTTAGGTATATGAATTCATCACACTAAAGAAGATCAAAATCTATAGTGAGTTCACCGTGATCCTCTTCTTGTCAATTAGAGAAAATTAATTTGTTAAGTAGAGAAAATTAACTTATTCAATCCAGGAATCATAAAATCGTATAAAGATAAATGTCTTTTGGTATTATTAATTTTGATGTCCCGTAATTTTGATTTCCCGCAATTCAATGAATTTTAAAGACCGCGCGTATTCTTACGGTACTGAATTTGTATAGTAACATGAGTGAACATGAGTATCTGGAGTGAATGGGAATCGGGGAATGGGGATTCTCGCCATTGGACTATATGTATATATAATTCAGTGGTTCTCGCCTTCTCGGTCGGACTGCTACGATTGTGCGCACTCCCTGCGGCGCGACAGTATCGATACAACCAATGGTGACAGTAGGTCGACGTCGGGCGATCTAACGTGATGTGAAAGATTAAAATTGGAGTCCTGCTGGCTGGGCTCGTAGGTAATTACAGGCGACGCAAATCATGGAAGAGATCTTTCAAAACGGCAATTATCAGAGGGAGGCTAACGCCAATATGAACGCTATGGAGACGCGGAAAGAGGTAAAGAGCTAGCTTGTTTTTCATACGCATTCGTCTGTGACAAATCGATAAGTCGTTCTCTCATCGCGGTACGCCTTTTCGGAGTCCCGATGCTTCGGCTCGTTGCCACATAGTTATGTGACTACGAAATTCCGAAAAAAACCTCCCGAACGACGTCTCGCTAGATTAGACAGATTTAAAGACGCTTAAATTAAACTAATGAAATCGCGAACAGGCGAATGCATGTCACGCAGTGATCATCAGACGCGTAGCGTCTTTCGATTGATGTCAGTGACTTGTGTTCAATTCTTCCCTCGATCCTGAATTCCTCTGTACATTGGAAATACCTTCGTACATTGTATAAGTTTGTGAATATACGGCTGTTGCATATTAATGTTTGCTTCATCAAAACCGTGACAGTCTTGCATGGCTGATAAGGAAACAGATGGATGATGGAAACAGTTGTATCTCTCTCAAAACTTGCACGAATGTTAAAAGAAGACTATTGAATACCTGCGAATATATTTCAGGACTGTCTGCTCGACCACATGGAGATCTCAATAGTGGAAGCTGAGAAGAGAGCAAATAGAGCACTTAATTTAAGAGAATTCTATACAGTATACCTCATTGAAACTAAGTGAGTAAGGAAGTAAAAATACGAATTGTGTAACATAATGTAACAAAGTTATTTTAAAGTAATACAAATTTTTGTTTCTAAAATATTTATTTCAAAATATACGATCTTATTTAGGAAATACTGTTACCTAAAAAAACTTTCGTCATCCATATGATTCCATTCTTTTTTTTTTTTATAGAGTCACTGATCCCGATTTCAAAAACGCGCTGACTAGGATAAGCTCGTTATGGCGGCGATACACCGAGTTTGAATTGCTCCGTGCTTATCTGGAGATTTCTTATCCATACATTGTTTTACCACCGTTACCGGAAAAGAAAGTTCTCTACGCTTGGCAAAAAGTAACAACTGATACATTCGACCCCGACTTTGTTGATCGCAGAAGAGCTGGACTCGAGGTACGTTTTTAATTTGTAATTATAACATACAAAAATGTACTGGAAAAATAAAAAAATGTTTTTATATACAGAATTTTCTTATAAGAGTTGCTTCACATCCTATACTTTCGCGGGATGAACATTTCATGGGATTTCTTCAACAGACAGACGGTTGGAGAGAAAGTGTTAAAGAAACAGGTAATTCTTATTCTAATCTAATTTCTGTGTATAATAGAAAAGATTTACACAATTAAATTAAAAAATAGTAGTTAAAAAGAAACTAAGTAAAGTTTGTCTATAAAAATTAATAACTTGAAGAATATCTCTGATAGTTTTTTGTTGTAATAATTATTTGTTGTTTGTTGCAAAGGGTATTTGCAGATCGCAGAATCAAAACTGAAAGCGCTTAGCGTAGCGGTGCGACTGAGAAAGCCAGACAAACGGTTCGAAACTATAAAAAATTATGGAATTGAACTGCAGGTAAAAGCTGTGAATCAAAATATTATTTTTGAAATATTATATATTTTGTTTTAACAAAATGGATCTACGATTTTTTAACGAATATCAATCTTTGATAATTTCTTTCTTTGCTTATATTATTAATATCTTCTTAATTGTGTAGCTTATATGCAAAAACAGTTATATCTAAAAATATAAAAATATTAGATATTGTTACTTCTGGATTCATTAA